CAATAATTTTGTAACTTAGCCGCCAGTTTGCTGCCAATTCGTGCTGCTTGAAAGCAGAACACTTGGATTATTTCCCTCCTCATTAACCAATTTTAAATAAATATATTTCTGGAAGCAGCCTGTTAATTTAACTTTCACTTGAGTCTGAATCTAAAACTCAGTTTGTCCAATTTTTTGAGGAAATATAAAAACATATTTTGTGAATATCTGTAAACAGCATCATTTGTGGGCCTGTTGTTTATTATAATGGAGAAAGGGCAGAAAAGGCGCATAACGTCCCTGCAGCCAATCAGAAGTCTCCTCACGTCTGGGAGCAGGAAGCACAAATAACCAAGAAACCATTCATTATTTTCAGACATATGGGGGCTGGGATCGTAACCCCTCCAGAGCTAATTATTAGGACTTTCCAGACCTGCAGGAAAACAAGTATTTCAGATTTCCAATCAAACATCTGCCAGAACATTAGGAGCTGCAGGCCCAGTTCACCTGCTGGACTTTTTAGCTAATGAAACCAGTCCGAGTCTCAGGTTTCTGCCACTTCCTGTCATTAGAACATTTTTCTATACTGTGTTTTCTTTGTTAAAGTGTTTTCTTTACATTCCTGTCCAAGTTGGTTGAAAAATATGTTACATGTTTATGCTATTTGGCTCAAAGCATGTGAGTTTTTAATGAGCAAAATTTACACACACACAAGTCGCCTGTTTAGGTCAAGTTACGTGCACTGGTTTAATTTGATCCAAGTTAAGATTCTGAGACATTCATGCAGTCTTCAGGAATTAAAAAAAAAATAGTTAAAGTTTCTCTGAGCTTAAAATTCTCTATTTCAAAGCAATTAGTTTTGCGGAGCGAACGTTAAATCGCAACACATAAATTATCCGCCTGCCAGCTTAAATGAACAAGAAGCGATGCAAAGTGTCATTTGATAGATTTTACAAGGTTGGGTGTGGGTGTCAGCCAATATAAACCTCCAGTTTTGTCAGAAAGCTGGAAGTACAACAAACAAAAGCAGCTTTATCTGCAAGAAACCACGGCTCATGAGAGGGATAGCCCTGCATTTTGTTTAAACTTTGTGGGGGATTATTCCAAATTCACTGGCAGTTCTTTAAATAAACCCTGCTGCACTTAATGTTTACTAAAATGTACAATCATAGCATCCTTAAACATAATCTTTATAAATCATTTGCTTTATCAGGTTATTGTGAGGAGGCAGACACATCCAAAAACAAGTGGAAAAAGCAATTGTGAACTAGTTTAGAAAACAACAGGAATGGGAATGATGCGATCAATTAGCAGGAAAAAAGTATGTTTGTCATCAATGTTTCCTGTTTCAGATCACCCAGCTGAAGATCGAGAATAACCCGTTTGCTAAAGGCTTCCGTGGAAGTGATGATATGGAGTTACACAGGATGTCCAGAATGCAAAGGTAGCTTCATCTAAACTTTTCCGATATGGCTCTGATATTTGGAAATAATGGCACATATGCTGAGTGATGTCAGATAAACTGTCTCATCATAGACAGGAAACATCCTGATTGTCGCTTAACAAGCCCGGCTTTAATCCAAGTGCAGGTCTAATTGTGTCTCTTTCAGTGAGTGTTATTTTCAGTGATGTAAGTGTAGTTTTTGATCGTCGGCCAGTTTTCATGCCGAAGACTTTTATGGCTGATCTGGCAGAACCTCTGAAACGAGACCGTAACATCTTTCTTCCACAGAGCTTTATTTTTTATATATAACTATAGAAATCTCCAATTGCTTTTGTGTCTGCTTTGTGTGTGTGTGTGTGTGTGTGTGTGTGTGTGTGTGTGTGTGTGTGAGTGTGAGAGAGAGTGTGTGTGTAAACTGGTGGATATCGCTCGGTCAGGCAGCCAAAGGCAGTACAAGACCACTTTAGTCTCCATTATTCAGTCCAGATGAGGGCTGGAGTCCATACTGCACAGAAAACACTTTTTCAAAGGAGAAAATCTGGTTTTGGAAAAACCCACTAGCCCCCTTTCTTTCTTTTTCTTTTAAAGCTTTTTTTTTTAAACAGAAACTGAGGGTTTCCATAAACGGAAAAAAAAAAATCACATTTCAGGCCAAAGACAAAAAAACTCAAATGCAACCTTCAACCTTGTTCTCTTTTGTTAAAGCTACACGGCTCCTGATCCAACTTTTTGTTTAAATATATTAAATTATTATTATTATTTAATTTAAAAAATCATTGAGATGTTTTAATAATTAAATGGGCTGATCTAAGCAGATCCACATAGCGTTACTTTGTCGGCCAGATGATTTTGCAACATTTAGGCAAATTTAATTCAAATATATAAAATAACCTAAAACTTGTTGAGGATCTAAACTACACTCTTGAGCTTATAATTTTCTTATCTTCTGCAGTTTTCTGTGTGTTTGCTCTTGGCTACCCCTTTCAGAAGATAAAGTCTAACATTTTAAAGCAAAGAACTGAAAGTTGTTGTTGTGGTTTGAACATGGTGGTGGATGGGTTAAATGCAGAGACTAATTTCGCCATTGTATGGAAACATACAGTGCTGACATTGTGATGACATTATTATTATTATTATTGTATGTGTTCTCATGCATGCAGCACCAAAGAGTACCCAGTGGTGCCTCGCAGCACGGTGCGACAGAGAGTTGGCTCCAGCCAGAGTCCGTTCAGTGGGGACATCCAGGGCTTGGCCACGGCCAGCACGCTGAGCTCCCAGTACTCCCAGGGTGAGAACGGCGTTACGAGCACCTCTCAGGACCTGCTGCCCCAGTCGGGGTCCTACCCGCTCCCACACGAGCACAGTCAAGAGTACTGCATCAAGAGGAAAGGTGAGAGCAAACACTACAAGTATTTTAGGTTCAAGCAGCTCCAGCTTGTCTTCTGTTTCGCTCTAAAATTAAAGGTTTTCGGAGTTAAAGCATATTTGCTCCTCCACGCCATCTTTTGTGCTTATGTTTGCTGTGTTCCTCCGTCTGCTCACCCTCGCCCCAATTTCTTCTTCTCCTGACATCTCACTCAACATCTCCATCTCTACTAACTCCAGGCCTTAAACGATGAAATGTGTGTGTCATGACGTTTGCTACAGTCTGGACTGTTTTCAATTAGAGGATGATCCTTCTCACTTTAGAATAAACTCAACATTTGATTGGAAATATCTCTCTCACCCTTTCCTGGTTGACGAGGAGCAACAGTTGCCTCGCTAAAGTCGTTGCTGATGACTTTCATGCTTGGCGTTGTGTTAGCACACGCCTGAGTGCTTCAGATCAGCAAAAAAGCAAAACACGTGTTCACTGCTGACCCTCTTCATTAAAGCAGTGAGGCTGAGCTTATTTATTATACCTTGCTTTAGCATTTTGACCTAAATTTGACTAATAAAAAGTCACACATAGCGTGCATTTGTTCATATTATTACCCAGTTCTAAAATTGTTAAGAAAAATAGGAAACATATTATATACAGTTTTTACTTAATAAGTTTGATACATAAAAATAAATAAACAAACAAATAAATAAATAAAATACAATCATAATGTAACACACCTCCTTTCTATCATGTCAAAACAAACAAACAAAGAAAAAATACATATATGAAGTGTAATTTACTGAGGTCAGCTACAGTTCCAGAGGTTTTGGCAACAAACGAGTAAACTTTCTAGAGGATTCTTTTGTTTTTAAGTTTGTGTTATCAAACAGCTTGAAATATTCCTCTTTTATTTTTTAATGTTAAATTTCTTCTGGGCTTATGATTAAATGGATGCTAATGTTTGAGCACTCAGCAGCTTTGATAGACTTATTATAGATAAACAACAAAGCAGCAATTTTCTAAAATTTAGAATGTAAAGTTTTAAGCAAACAGCCTGCTCATTAAGAAGCACTTGGAGTGAAAGATGTGACTGACTTTCTGTTACAACCACACCAAACATTAACCCAATGTCTGCAGATTTAACAGAATTAGAACCGTTTGTCATTTGGCTGTGATGATCATCTTGGACTATGTTGTGTTAAAATCCATATAGTGGTTCACGAGTTATTTTGTTAACACAGACACACCTTTCAGTAGCCGACAAAACAAATCCATGCTAAAAATAATCCATATAATTTATATTATTTTTGATACTAAATAACAAAACAACAAATAGAACAATATCAATACTGTTTCAAATGAAGTTAATCATAAATGACTGTTATTGTGAGGTATTTGACTTGAATAAGTCTGATCTGTGTGTCCGTAACTTTACTTGCAGTGGAGGATGACTGTCACTCAGGTGAGCACAGCTATAAGAAAGCCTATCTGGAGAGCTCTTCCAGTGAGGAGGACCATTACTACCGGCCTGTTGGCTACCCTCAGAGCCTTAGTCTTGCCAGCGGGCCTTACCGCAGTGAATCCAGCCAGCGGCAGGCCTGTATGTACGCCGGCGCCTCACAAGGCCCAGAATCTGTTCCCAGTTTGGAGGACATCAGCTGCAACACCTGGGCCAGCGTCTCACCTTACGGTAGTTGTTCCGTCACCACCATGCAGCCGATGGAGAGACTTCCCTACCAACACTTCTCCGCCCACTTCACCTCAGGGTCTTTAGTGTCCAGACTGGGCGGGGTGGGAGGCCACGCCTCGCAGCAGCTGGGCGAAGGCCACCATACGGCTATGTACCAGAGCTCCATGACCCACCAGACTCTGGGCCGGCAGTGCAGTCCCGGGGCTGGGATCCAGTCCCCAACAGCTGGCTTACAAGGAAACGAGTACCTCTATACGCACGGCATACAGCGCACGCTATCACCACACCAGTACCACTCTGTTCACAGCGTCAGCATCATGCCAGAGTGGAGCGAGAACAGCTAAAAGAAGAAACACTTTATCACTCATCAGATGCAGATTTAAAAAAAAAAAAAAGACTTCAATGGACCAAGGGCAGAGTTTAGATAAATTTATATTTATATTTTTAAGAATGTGTTGCCATTAAGCTTAATAAAACCAGTGTTATTTCATTGAGAACAGCGGGTGCAGTGGGTGGTGGTGACCAGGAGAGGATTGTGCCAGTTAAGACAGCCTCTGCACTTATAAACAAAACATGAACCCAACACAACATGGCCGCTCCTGTGCAGACAAAGCTGACCCTCAACAGAAGATCAGAACGGCTTCAGTCGTTCGTCTGCAGACTGATTGTTCTTGTGAAGTTTGTTTTGGTTGTTTTTAATGTCTGTGATTAGTGCATTAATTTTTAGGATGTTTCTTTTCTGTCGCATGAACTCGAGTTCTCATCTTTAACATTTTTGCAACTGGTTTAATCGTTGAAAGTGCTTCAGTAGTTGTGAGACTTCTTGCTGTGGTTTCAGTGAGTGTGGCTGCTTTAAAATCTGCCAGAAAGACTTTACTTTTATCATTTTCAACATGTTAATGCAATTACAACACAAAGAAAAAAACAAACTTTCTATCAAACTGTCTCAAACAGAATTTAAAGACAAACTCCCCTCCTGAAAAGTGAAGTCATATTTAGGATCCCGGTGTGCAGAGATGAAAAGTGTGATGCCATCATCACTTTAAAGAGTAACAATAAAACATTTAAGGTTGTCTCAATCCAATCATATGTATCAAAGCTGTACTGCAGTACATCATACAGCAGCTGAAACACAGCACTCATGGTTTTCTATGTTTGCAAAAGATTCATTATCAGACCACCTCGCTGGCATCAAATGGTTTATCTGGAAGTGACAAATGCCATAACGGTCCTGACTCATAATTAAACAAAAACCGCATTAATCACCATCAAAATCTGTTAAAACTCGAGACCGGGCCAGAATCTGGAAGTTGAAACTGCAGCTCTTATCTTGCTGTATGTGCAATTTTTTTTCCACCAGCACATTTAGTCTCAATAAGTAATTTGAGGCTTAAAGTGTCAAGTTGCATTGTGACTGATTATGTAACAGCCTGTTAGAGCGTTGAGAGCGTGTGTAGGCAGGGTTTTGTATGGAAAGTACAAGCTGGTACTTTCCTGCTGCTCAGACTCCGGCTCTAAAATTTCAACAAGATGACTCCCCAAGATTGACACTGTGGCTTCATTTTGTTATTTGGAGAAAACAAAAATGCTTAATCCACATTTGTTAATATTAATGATCAAGAAATCCTTTAAAACTAGGGATGCACAATATTATCGGCATCAGTATCGGATGATATTAACGATAAAGTTAAATATCAAACATTGGCCATTCCATCAAAATAACTCACCGATATAAAAGGCGTTGTTTATATATATATATATATATATATATATATATATATATATATATATATAAACAATATAAATATATATATATGTGTGTGTGTGTGTGTAGCAACCACCATTGAGTTTAGATTTGTGAAAATTTACAAAATTGCACTGTCCGAGTGTTGTCATTGTGTTTGAGAGAGTAACTGCCATGAATAAATTTGACATTAATCATAATCCAAGTAGAAGTGTTACATTATTTTCAGCCCCTTTTTTGGCATCTGCATTTGGTAGCAGGCCAAACTGACAAAGACCATGCAGAATAATGTAGTATTTTAATTCCACAGCATAGAAAGTTATGTAATCTCTGTAAGTAGGTCAAGGGGAAAAAAAATATTGGTATCGGTTATCGGCCAAATAAGTTTTAACATATCGGCATATCGGCTATCAGCCAAAAAATCCAATATCGTGCATTCCTTCTTAAAACATTTTTTTTTCTATCAGGCTCCAGTCTGTGCCGAATTTAAAAGGAACCCGTTTTTCTATATCCAAAGTCTTTAAAAACAATAAATCCGTGAACCATTTTTTCCTCATCCACATTGATGGATACTAGTATTTTATATCTGAACCATTCATATCTACAACTAAATATTCTTCAGTTTGCGGGATGCTTCATCAAAATCAAGTTAAATCCAGAAAACCAAATAGTGTCTTAAACCCCTGATCATTAGAATCTGAAATCAGTGCTGTCAGTTTTTACCAACCCTAAACCCTAATCTGTATTTTTTAGGGAGATATGTCACGCAGGTCAGTTTATCATAGTGTTGTGAACTTTCACATGTTGTAAATGTTCAGGTACCCGTATTTTTGGGGCTATGAGGCACACCGGATTATAATGCTCATTAAGCAAAACAAAACAGCCAGATAAGTCAAACTTTATTCAACTCATTCACAAATTAACCACATAAAATCAGTTCGAGGTCAGTAAGCACAACCAGAATTAATACATAAGGTGCATCTAATTATAAGGCTCACTGTCAATTTTTGAGAAAATGAAAGGATTTTAATTGTGCCTTATAGTTCGAAAAATAAGCTCTGCAGCAAAGAAAATGCTCTTAGAGTCCTCTTATAAAATTCACATGATATGACAGATTTTTTTACACTTAAATATTATTATCTGAAATTTTTAAGCGGCACAACATAATATCGATGATACTATTAAAACTTACACACTCTTGACAATTTATTATTATTATTAAACTACAAAACTGTACTAAACTAAGTGCATTTTATATTTTACATTACAAAGAACATTTCAGTGATGCTCTAACCACGTTCAGTTATAATAAATTCAAAGAGACAGCTACACAAAGTGGACCTACTTCAATTTAATCCACACATCGTTGGGTTGTTTTCATCAAACTCAATAGAAATAGTTTTATTTCTTTTTCAAGCATTATCCTCCCTTCAGTGTTTTGTAATCTTTACTTCTTTTTTGTCTTTGTGTCACTTAGTCATGTTGTCTGGAAACATGAGTTATAAAAGTATAAAAGTAAACTAAAAACTGGAATCATTATTCACTTGTATTCCGAGACATGACTTTTTTAACGCTTGAGATTTTCTCAGAGTAATTTCAACTGTCAGTCGAGGGTTGTTGAGTGACCTCTGGATCATTTAGACCGGCTTTTATTTTTATATGACAACCAACACCATAGCTTTTTTTATCAATGTAAATAATGTTACATAATTTGATTTTAAAAGATTATCTAAAAATACTAGAAACTTTCAGCATCAAAGATCTTGCCATAATTTAATGAGTACTTCTTAAGTTTGTTAAGAAATAATGTGTTTTAATGGGTCTCATGTACTTGGTGAACATGAGTCCTGAAATATTTTTACATTAATCATCAAAAAGGCACTTCAAACAAACATGCAATTAAAAGTTGGACACTACACAATGTAAATTTGAAACGTCAAATATTTACTTGATATACAATGGAAAGCAACAATTGGTTTTACTCTGCAAAAGTACAGACAAAGGACAAAAGCTCATTTTAAGTGTTTGTAGTTAACATATTTGTTGTCAATAGTATTTATTTTTCTATGATGTAAATCAGCTTCAACATATCAAAAATAGGTGGTACACTTTCATTTTTTTCTTTTCTTGTAGCCTGCCTTTCTATGATTGTATAGATTTTTCTAATTTTACTGATACTGAAAACAGTAGTTTACTATACAGCCTTTAAATGTGTAAAAAAAAAACAACAACTGATAATGTATGCATAATGTGTAAATATCTGTGACATATCAAAATACTTGCAACAAATATGAAAGATTAAAACATCTTGCTGAAGTCTGGATTTTCCTGATTTGTGTGAATGAGGTGGTTTTAACCCTTTACAGGTCAAAATGCCATATACAGGTGCTGGTCATAAAATTAGAATATCATGAAAAAGTTTATTTATTTCGGTAATTCCATTCAAAAAGTGAATTTTATTCATTCATTATACACAGACTGATATAGTTCAAATGTTTATTTCTTTTAACGTTAACGATTATAAATGACAACTAATGAAAACCCCAAATTCAGTATATCAGAAAATTTGAATATTGTGCAAAGGTTCAATATAGAAGACACCTGGTGCCACATTCTAATCAGCTAATTAACGCAAAACACTTGTAAAGGCCTTTAAATTGTCTCAGTCTAGTTCTGTAGGCTACACGCTCATGAGGAAGACTGCTTACTTGACAATTGTCCAAAAGACGACCATTGACACCTTGCACAAGGAGGGCAAGACACAAAAGGTCATTGCTAAAGAGGCTGGCTGTTCACAGAGCTCTGTGTCCAAGCACATTAATAGAGAGGCGAAGGAAAAGAAACAATGTGGTAGAAAAAAAGTGTACAAGCAATAGGGATAACTGCACACTGGAGAGGATTGGGAAACAAAATCCATTCCAAAATGTGGAGGAGATTCACAAAGAATGAACTGCAGCTGAAGTCAGTACTTCAAGAACCACCATGCACAGATGTATGCAAGACGGGTTTCAGCTGTCGCATTCCTTGTGTCAATCTACTCTTGAACAAGTGACAGAGTCAGAAGCGTCTCACCTGGGCTAAAGACTAAAAGGACTGGACTGCTGCTGAGTAGTCCAAAGTTATGTTCTCTGATGAAAGTACATTTTGCATTTACTTTGGAAATCAAGGTCCCAGAGTCTGGAGGAAGAGAGGAGAGGCACAGAATCCATGTTGTTTGAGGTGCAGTGTCAAGTTTCCACAGTCAGTGATGGTTTGGGGTGCCATGTCATCTGCTGGTCCACTGTGTTTTCTGAGGTCTAAGGTCAATGCAGCCATCTACCAGGAAGTTTTAGAGCACTTCATGCTTCCTGCTGCTGACCAACTTTATGGGAGATGCAGATTTCATTTTCCAACAGGACTTGGCAACTGCACACAGTATCAATGCTACCATTACCTGGTTTAAGGACCATGGTATCCCTGTTTTCAACTGGCCAGCAAACTCGCCTGACTTTAATCCCGTAGAAAATCTATTGTGGAGAAAAGTTCGATACACCAGACCAAGAATTCAGAAGAGCTGAAGGCCACTATAATCAACATTAAAAGAAATAAACATTTGAAATAAATCAGTCTGTTTGTAATGAATGAATATAATATACAAGTTTCACTTTTTGAATGGAATTACTGAAATAAATCAACTTTTTCATGATATTCTAATTTTATGACCAGCACCTGTATTTGTGTATGTCATAGTAAATTTCTTTTTTTCTTTTTTTCTGAATAATTAACTTTTAAAGGATATTT